CCCCCCCCCCCCCACCGGGCCCCTGAAGAGTCTGAAGAGTCTGAGTCCATCTGCTGAACGAGCGAGAGCATCAATTATTCATGAAACGACAAGAAGAAGAAGAGGAGAGAGGGAGAGAGGGATGAGACGCACTCTGAGAAAAAGAGGAGAGGAACGATAGAAGAAAGAGAGAGAGGGAGGAGAGAGGAACGACAAAAGAGAAGAGGAGGAGGAGAGAGGGATGAGACGCACTCTGACAGAGGAGAGGAACGATAGAAGAGAGAGGAATGACAGAAGAAAGAGAGAGGGAGAGAGGGATGAGACGCACTATGACAGAGGAGAGGAACGACAGAAGAAAGAGAAAGAGGGAGGAGAGAGGAACGACAGAAGAGAAGAGGAGGAGGAGAGAGGGATGAGACGCACTCTGAGCAGAAGAAAGAGAGGAACAACAGAAGAAGAAGGGGAGGAGAGGAGAGAGGGAGGGAGAGAGGAACGACAGAAGAAGAGAGAGAGGGATGAGACGCACTCTGAGAAAAAGAGAAGAGGAACGATAGAAGAAGAAGAGGAGAGGAGGAGAGGAGAGGAAAGATAGAAGAAGAGAGAGGGAGAGAGGGATGAGACGCACTCTGAGAGCGGAGAGGAACGACAGAAGAAGAAGAGGAGGAGAGAGAGGGAGGGAGAGAGAGAGGAGAGAGAGGGCCCAGGAATGACAGAAGACGAGGAGCAGAGGAAGAGAGAGGGAGGAGAACAACTGAACAGGAGGAGAGAGAGAACCGAAGAATGACAGAAGAAGAGGAAGAGGGAGTAGAGAGGGAGGAGAGAAGGAGAGGGCCAAGGAACGACAGAAGAGGAGGAGAGGGAGAGGAGAAAGGACCGAGGTATGACAGAAGAGGAGAGGAAGAGAGGAAAGAGGGAGTAGAGAGGGAGGAGAGAGGGAGGAGAGAAGGAGAGGGCCAGAGGAACGAAGAGAGAGAAGAAGAGGAGAAGAGGAGGAGAGAGAGAGGGGCCGGGAACAATCGAAGAGGAGAGGAAAAAGGAGGAGAGAGAGAGAGAGAGAGAGAGAGAGAGGTAGAGGTGAGAGGGAGGAGAAGAGAGGACCGAGGAACGACAGAAAGAGGAGGAGAGGGAGAGAGAAAAGGAACCGAGGAACGACAGAAGAGGAGGAGAGGGAGAGGAGAAAGGACCGAGGAACAGAAGAGGAGAGAAGAGGAGAGAGAGGAAGAGAGAGGGAGAGGGCGAGAGAAACAACAGAAGAGGAGAAGAGGAGGAGAGAGAGAGGGCCGAGGAACAATAGAAGAGGAGAGAGAGAGAGAGAGAGAGAGAGAGAGGAGAGGAGGAGAGAGAGAGAGAGAGAGAGAGAGGTAGAGGTGAGAGGGAGGAGGAGAGAGGGCCAAGGAACGATAGAAGAGGAGGAGAGAGAGGAAAGGAAAGAGAGACAGAGAGGGAGGAGGAGTGAGAGAAAGGGAGAGAGAGAGAGAAAGGAGAGTCGGGGAAGAGAAAGAAGAAGAAGGAGAGAGACAGAGAGAGAGAAAAAGAACGAGGGAGGAGGAGGAGAGGGGGAGTGGTGTTTTCAGTTATTGATCTGTAACGAGACTCCAGCTCTGACACTTTAAACATGTTTCACTTTGACTTTTCACACACGGATAAAGCTGCACTACGTCACTTTTCTAGACAACCATCCTTCACTCTCTCGTAACCATGGAGACGTGACTGATTTGCCTCGAATGTTCCACAGTATTTACTTCTCTTTCCGGTGTTCGACTCCAAAACACTCAGCTCCAGTTTTTTATTTCACATTTTATTATTCGGTTTGTCTCAGTGAAGTTTACGTTATTAAAAAAAAAAAAAACAAGAAAAACAAGAAAAACACGACTGTTTTTTTTCGTTGTGTTTTTTTTTTTTTTTTTTTTTGAGTCTCGTGGTTTTCGTGAGTTTCCGTGTCGACGCAGGATCCTGGAGCTGAACTGAGCATCTGCAAACTCAAGAAACAAAAAGTGTAGGAGCAGATACTTTCCCAAAAACACTCCCTGGTTTAGACCTGGTTCAGTCCTGGTTTAGATCTGGTTTAGTCCTGGTTTTAGACCTGTTTAGTCCTGGTTTAGACCTGGTTTTAAACCTGGTTTAGTCCTTGTTTGGACCTGGTTTGACCTGTTTAGTTTGGTTTAGACCTGTTTAGACCTGTTTAGACCTGGTTTAAACCTGGTTTTAGACCTGGTTTAGACTTTTGTTTAGTCCTGGTTTAGACCTGGTTTAGACCTGTTTAGACCTGGTTTTAGACCTGGTTTGACCTGGTTTAGATCCTGGTTTAGACCTGTTTTAGTCCTGGTTTAGACCTGTGGTTTTAGACCTGGTTTAGACCTTGGTTTGGACCTGGTTTAGACCTGGTTTAGACCTGGTTTTAGACCTGGTTTAGACCTGGTTTAGACCTGGTTTAGACCTGGTTTAGACCTAGTTTAGTCCTGTTTTAGACCTGGTTTTAGACCTGGTTTAGACCTGGTTTAGACCTGGTTTAGACCTGGTTTAGACCTGGTTTAGACCTGGTTTAGACCTGGTTTAGACCTGGTTTTAGACCTGTTTAGACCTGGTTTAGACCTGGTTTAGACCTTGTTTAGACCTGTTTTAGACCTGGTTTTAGACCTGGTTTAGACCTGGTTTTAGACCTGGTTTTTTAGACCTGGTTTGGACCTGGTTTAGACCTGGTTTGGACCTGGTTTAGACCTGGTTTAGACCTGGTTTAGACCTAGTTTAGTCCTGTTTTAGTTCTGGTTTGGACCAGGTTTAGACCTGAAAAGAAAGAAAGAAAAAAAGGGATTTAGCCTGAAATGCGAAAACAGGAAAATCCCGCCGTTTAATCCATTTACTTCAACAAAGTAACTGTAATCCAATTACCACTCACTCACCATAATTTGTACTCTGATTACTCCGGTACATGTAATCTATTACTCCCCAACACTGTCTGTGAGATCACCTTTTTCCAAACAAAAAAACTAAAACAATTGACGCACTGATGAAGTAATAAAGAACAAAAATCCACTTCTTTTGTCGGTGTTTCTTAATGTAATATATCATTGTTACTTCTCTCGTTTCTCTCGTTTCTCTCGTTTCTCTCGTTTCTCTCGTTTCTCTCGTTTCTCTCGTTTCTCCCCTCGCGCTCCTCCCCTCGCGCTCCTCTCCGCACCTTCTCTCGGACCCACCCATGCATGCTCAGTGAATTAGCCCCGAACACGAGCTCCAATCAGCGGGCGTCTCCTTTCCTCCGCTTCTCCTCGACCTCCGGGGCCACGTTCATTTTCCACTTAATTTTGCCGCAGTCACTTTGCGTTTTGGGATGATTACGCGCCGGGGGGAATTAACAATAAATAACAAATGCGGCGCGATGGTTTCCCCCCCTCCGTCCGGCCGCCGCTGTGTCAAAGTTGTAATGAAATTGTCTGAGGGCCGGTGTTTCTGCGAGAGGAAGACGCCGGGTCAGAACCAGATCGTCCGTTTGATAGACCCATGTTTTTTTTTTGTAACTTGATTCAACTTTGGCGTGTTCCTGTTTCCAGAAGATTTGTGTTTTCATGTTTTAATCCGGGTGAATGTTTGAAATTAATCCGTGTGTCGATCGTTCGTTCGTTTTTCAATATAAAACCACAAATATGAGAATGAAAAATCAACAGTTTTTTTCGTGATTTGTTTCCAAAATCAAAATGAAAAAAAAAAAAAACAGATGATGATTTGTTTTTTCGGTTTTCGATTTTGTGTTTAAATGAAAAATGGAAAAAAATGGATCTTACGTGACTTCTGTGTGTGTGATGTCGGACTTTTGCCCCAAATACGGACTGAACCAGGACTGATCCAGGTCCAGGACCAGACCGAGACTGAGACCAGGACTGAGACCGGGACCAGACCAGGACTAGACAGGGACCAGACAGAGACCAGACTGGGACTGAGACCTTGACCAGACTGTGACCAGACCGGACCAGACCAGAGACTGAGACCCAGGCCAGACCAGACCGGGACTGACCGGGACTGAGACCGAGACCAGACCGGGACCAGACCGGGACTGAGACTGAGACCAGGCCGGGACCAGACCGGGACTAAGACCGGGACTGAGACCGAGACCAGACTGGGACCAGACCGGAGGCTCAGAGCCCACGGCAGGGCCCGAGCTCGAAGCTGGGGCTCGGAGTCAAAGCTCGGAGTCCGCTCTGGTCCCGGTCTGGTCCCGGTCTGGTCCCGGTCTGGTCCCGGACTTGGATCAGTCCTGGTTTAGTCCGTATTCGGTGCAAAAGTCCGGCATCACAGTCATGGATTACAGTTACTTTGTTGAAATACTTTTTTTTTTTTTTTCCCAGTAATTCCACTCATTGCGGGTAACTAAACCAGGACTAAAACCAGGACTAAACCAGGTCTAAACCAGGAAAACCAGGTAAAACCAGGACTAAACCAGGACTAAAAAACCTAAAACTAGGACTAAAACTAAACTAAAAACTAGATCTAAACCAGATCTAAAACTAGGGACTAAAACTAAAACCAAGGACTAAACTAGGACTAGAAAACCAAGTCTAAACTAGATCTAAACCAGGACTAAAACAGGTCTAAACCAGGTCTAAAACAGGATTTAACAGGACTAAACCTGTGTGGACGTGTTTCTTCTTCTTCTATCAATAATATTTTTAATTTGGTTCAGTAAAGTCTTTTCACTTTTTCAATTTTCTTTTATCAGACAAAACATCTTATGTTACGATGTCCCAGTCTTTGTTTCTCTACAGCAAATCAAGTAATCCAAAGTATTCAGATTACATTTTCCACTTTAAGTCATTTAATGGATTCCGTTACAAACTACATTTTGGAGTGTGTAATCTGTAATCTGTAGGGGATTACATTTTAAAAGTCACCTTCCCAACACTGACATCGGTACAGAAACATCTTCTATCTTCTTCCGTCTCGAGGCTCCTGTAGCTCAGACGAGACGGTGCGTTCGAGGGCCTGACGTCTTCGTGCGCTTGAATTACCTTCTTGTCTCTTCTTCTCAGAATACTTGCACCGTATGGAGACCGAGGAGGCGCAGGAGATGGCCCCGCTGCCAGGTGAGAGATTGAGAAACGCACACTTCACGAACTGCACACAAAAGAGCGAGCGAGTGTGTGTGTGTGTGTGTGTGTGTGAGAAAACTCCAGAGCCCAACTTAATGTGGCCGCCTCGTCTTAAATTGGGGTTTTTGGGGGGTTTAAGGTGTATTTAGATTACTTTAGATTTGAATTCACGAAGTCTTTTACTTTTAGATTCCACTTTCGAGTCCATTTAAATGCTTCGGGTGCATCATTGGGAACAGCGTGAATAAAATAAAACACTTTTGTATCACTTTAAATTCACAGCTCTGGCTCCAAGCGACTTTACATTGAAAAACCGTCTTAAAATCTTCACATTAACCCACTCTACATGATCTTTGTCTTTTTATTTCGCCATTTTGTCCACAGATAAACTCCTACAAACATAGAACTTGGCTCCAAATTTGTTGCTGTAACTGCAATCCTCAATGAAAACCCCCAAACATTTTTATTCGTTTTGGGTTTTGGCCACAATTTTTCATTTTGGTGCATCCCTAATCAGTAAAGAGTAAAGAGGCGTACACTGTCATATTTGTTTTGGTAAAATACAGAAAATTGAGCTTGAAAATGACCATTTAAAAAAAAAAAAAAAAACGTGATTATGACCCACAAAGTCCAAAACTAGTGATTTGTCCCAGTTTTACACAAGAAATGTCCCTATTTTTGTCCAATTTGACACCTGCCAACAGTAAAACAAGGCAGAAATTGTCACTTTTTTTACGCAAAACACAGAAAAGCTGCTTAAAAATTACCAAAAAATATATAAATGTAAATTTAATTTGACAGCCTTAAAAATGTAAATACACACTGCCAGTAAAGAGAGGCATAAATTGTCATTTGTTTAGCTAAAATACAGAAAATTTAGCTTGAAAATGACCTAAGAAAAAAACAAAAATGCAATGTTAGAAGTTCCTCAGATCATGATTATGACCCACAAAGTTAGTTTAAAATGGACAATGTTTAAGGTGACCAGACGTCCCTATTTACCTGAGACAGTCTCAGTTTTGAGTCCCGTGTCCCCTGTCCCAGCAGATTTATCCAAAACTAGTGATTTGTCCCAGTTTTTCACAAGAAATGTCCCTATTTTTGACCAATTTGATCCCTGCCAACAGTAAAACGAGGCAGAAATTGTCACTTTTTTATGCAAAACACAGAAAAGCTGCTTAAAAATTACCAAAAAAAATATGGTAACACTTTATAATAACTACACCTTACTTAGCCTTAATAAAGCATGAACTAAGACTTAATTAATAATGAACAAAGACTTAATTAATAATGATTCACGCTTAGTAAATGTTTAATAAAGGATAATTCGTGTTCACTTTAGAAAAGCTCTCAAAAAGACTTAACTCACAGATAACAGCTGCCTGAATTATCATTGCATTGGATTATTAGTAAATCATTCTCTCATAGTTTACTAATGATTAATAAATGCTCAAATGGTTAGTTCATGAGTAATTAAGTATGAAATAATTATGAGTAACTATTTACAGCACAGGCAAATTAAGTGCAAGTGCTAATTCAGGTAATAATTAAGTAGTTACTAAGTGTGAATCATTATTAATTAAGTCTTTCTTCATTATTAATATAGTCTTTGTTCATGCTTTATTAAGGCTAAATAAGGTGTAGTTATTATAAAGTGTTACCAAAATATATAAATGTAAATTTGATTTGACAGCCTTAAAAATGTAAATACACACACACAAACACTGCATTGAGAAACTCTGTATGACACACACCCTCCCCAACCCCCCACTACCTTTTTTTTTTTTTTTATTCTTATATATATATATATATATATATATATATATATATATATATATATATTTATTTTTTTTTTTTTTTTTTTTAATTATTATTTTTTTTTTTTATGTGTGTTTAGTTAAGTCTGTCTTGTTGTGGATGTGCTGGGTATCCAATCCCTCAAACTTGACAAATTATAAAAAAATAAAAATAAAAAATTACCAAAACAGAAAAAAAATATGACTATACCGACTCACATTAGTGCAGGGGTGTGAAACTCATTTTGGTCCAGGGGCCGTGTCCAACCGACTTTGATCCCAAAGGGGCCGGATCAAAAAACTCATGTCATATAAACCCCAAAAATAACAATAAGTTCAAATATTTGTGCAGAGAAACACAAATCTATTACAGAAATCTTTTTTAATTGATAAACTCTTTCTTTTACACAATATTATAATATTATGAACAACCTGAAACTTTAAGAAAAATGTAATTTCAACACAAAGTTTTAACATGAACTTGTATGTAAATATGAATAAGTCAATTTTTCATGGAAAATCCTGCACTCGGCTCCACTTTTCTCATGTTGGACATTTTTCTGATGAGGGTGTCACGGTCAACAGTCAAAACGATCGTCCTTTAAGAGCGTTTGGAAAGAGACAAGTCTTCATTTGTGCTGCTCTGGTGGGAGGGGCCACGTACAGAGACGCTGGAGACGCTGCTATGTTCAGCGACGCAAGAAATGACCAATATTTTAATAGAAAATATAATTCAAATATTTTTGTAGAAAATCAGCTGAGGGCCAGATTAAAGGCCTTGGAGGGCCGGATCTGGCCCCTGGGCCGTATGTTTGACACCTGTGCATTAAAGCAAGGGCATAACAATTTTACTTCATTACGCACTCGTTTAACAATTTTATTATTACCAAAAGCCACAAAACAAGGATGTAAAGCTTTTTATTATGGAAAATCTTTTGAAGACCTTAAGAAGAAGAACGTTGCTCAATACTGCACGTTCTTACTTACATTAGAAGATTTTGTAGAGGCCAAATAAAAAACGAAATCACATGTTGTCTCTGTATCTGTAGGTCGGGAAAGCCCGCCTCCGAACGACACGTCAGAGGAGCCGGAAGAGCCGATGGCGGTTCCCGAAGACCTGTCCTCAAGCTCCGCCCACCAGCAGAACAACAACATCAAAGGTACGAGGCTTCGGCCAATCACAGCGCACGACACCAAACGAACCGGGACAGTTATTTTTATGAATGAGTTTCCCGCGGCGGTAATTGAACTAACGACACGAAGCTTTACGAACACACACACTCACGAGGATTAAATGGAAATCGCTCGTAAACAGTTCATTAGCAAATCGGTCGACATGATGAGATGCAATGTTCAGACTCGGTTGGTTTTATAAATTAGAAGTTATTAACATTTTTAAACGACTGCTGGAGGAAAAGAAGAGATCCTCGTGTGCGCACTGCAGGCGTCTCCAACCTTTTTCCCCCGGTGAGCTCCCGTTACAAAAAAGAAAATGCCAAAGAGCTACTGATTTTTGTGGTACGGTGACCAGATTTTCAGAATTTAAAACGGGGACGCACTCAGGTTGGGAGGTTTGGTGTAAATAAAAGTGTGAAAAGAGCGTGGAACATCATCTGAGGGATTTCTGACACTGCATTTTTTTGTTTTATTGTCTTTTTTTTTTTGTATTTTGGCTAAACAAATGATAATTTATGCTCCTCTTTACTGTTGGCAGGGATCAGATTAGTCAAAAATCGTGATAGTCCTGGTTCAGTCCTGATGTAGTCCTGGTTTAGATCAAATTGGTCAAAAATAGGGACGTTTCTTGTATAAAACTGGGACAAATCAGTGGTTTTGGATAAATCTGCTGGGGCAGGGGACACAGGCTCAAAACTGGGTCTGTCCCGGGAAAATATTAACGTCTGGTCACCATATTTAACGGTCACAAGAAATTGAGCACAGGAAAGCCTTAGATGGGCAACAGTTTGATATATTTATAAAACATAGACAGTTAAAACATCTTAATTTGTTCATTTAGAAATCCTTTGTGAGCTACTGTACTTGGAAGGGGGTAGAGAGTTACTGGTAGCTCCCGAGGTGCAGGTTGGAGACTCCTGGCACACTGTATTTGTCACTTTTTTTTCCAATTACTCATGTGTTTTAGAAATATAGAGGATAAAATCTAGAACTTTGGGCCTTGGTTGGGGTTTGGACTTGGTCACGTAGATTTCCCGTCGGTTTTGTTTCTCAGTATTTGTCTGTGTGAAGATTGTGTGAGGAATAAATGTCACAGGAATCAAGTTAGAAATGATTCTTTGAGCGTTGACGTGTGTGGGCCTCTGGATTGATTTCTACACACGGATCTGAGGATCTTTCACGTCGTGTTCACTAAACGTTTCATTAGAACCAGAAGCTCTTAGTTCGGTTCGTTTTCGTTGGTGCGAAAGCTTCAGTCGCGCTCGGATCCGCACTAAATCAAGCGGACGAAACCTCAAAAACGAGATGGTCTCCGTCCGCTTGGCTTCGCACCAAATGCCAAACTCTGGTGCGAACCTAAACTGGGTGTCCAAACGTCTTTCATCAAGGGCCACACATCTAAACATAGACGAAGCAGAGGCCGGTCGAGGGCCGTAGACTGATGCTCAATACAGTGAATAACTGAAATATGTGCATGTTTAACACCAATAACATGAATAAACACTGATGGCTCACGCTAAGATCCTTAAAAACAAACACTAAATATTAAATATTCGCTTTATCAAGGTAGATTTTCCAAATACTTGCAGTAAGAAGTTAATATTTACATTTATTTATTTATTTATTTATTTAAAAAAAAATAGGGACAAAACACATTAATGAACATATACATGATATGTAAATATGTTATCAGATTATAGCCCAAGGCTAATTTCCATCTGCTGTCCCTAGGCAGGTTGATGTAATCATAAAACAAAATCACAGTAAAAACAATACACCCCGACAGACAATACAGTAATACAAATAGACAGACACAAAGAGCTGGTCAGTCACAAGAGCACAGACACAGGTCAAGCAAAGGATGTTGGATTATTTGATCAAAATTGCACGCTGCCTTGTTTAGTTTAAGATGCCAGTGTATAGATATTGCACACAGCCCATTGCTAAAATTACTATAAAGTGCTTTTCTACAATATATTGCACGTGCCCTCGAAGGTAAAATGATTTAAGGTCATTTGAGCCAATTCACCTGGAAGCCTGAGGGCCAAGAAAAAATTGTCTGAGGGCCGCAAGTGGCCCACGTAGACAGTAGGTCCGAACGAATTATTCAACAAGCATCATGGGAGGGGAGACTGATTATTTTATTGCGTAGACTGAGCCGACGGGCAGGTTAAGGGGTGTGACAGGGGTTGGATCCGGTCATTTTCTCTCTGTGTTTGGCGGTGCGGAGGTTTGTGAGTCCGAGCTCTTTTAGACAAAGGGTCGAGAAACTATGTCGAAGCCGGCCTCTGCTCGGGGGGACAGGGATCCCAGAGACGGGCTCGGTGGGAAGTAGGGATGGGCATGATTAGTCGATTAATCGATAATTGATCATTAAGAATTTCATCGATTACGTTCATTTTTATCGACAAACCGAATGTAGGTTGTTGTGTGTCGTGACCAAACAGGTGTGAACATGTGTCTCTGCATCAGAAGGAGCGAGACACAAACAGTGGGTCAGTCCTAGTTTAGTCCTGGTTTTAGTCCTAGTTTAGTCCTGGTTTAGTCCTAGTTTAGTCCTGGTTTAGTCCTAGTTTAGTCCTGGTTTAGTCCTAGTTTAGTCCTGGTTTTAGTCCTAGTTTTAGTCCTGGTTTAGTCCTTTTAGTCCTTTAGTCCTGGTTTTAGTCCTAGTTTAGTCCTGGTTTAGTCCTAGTTTAGTCCTGGTTTAGTCCTAGTTTAGTCCTGTTTAGTCCTGCTTTTAGACCTGGTTTAGTCCTGATTTACACCTGGTTTTGGTCCTGGTTTTAGTCCTGTTTTTAGACCTGGTTTAGACCTGGTTTTTGTCCTGGTTTTAGTCCTGGTTTAGTCCTGGTTTAGTCCTAGCTTAGTCCTTGTTTAGTCCTGGTTTAGACCTGGATTAGACCTGGCTTTGGTCCTGGTTTTAGTCCTTGTTTAGTCCTGGTTTTAGACCTGGTGTCGTCCTGGTTTAGTCCTGATTTACACCTGGTTTTGGTTCTGGTTTTAGTCCTAGTTTAGTCCTGGTTTAGTCCCGGTTTTAGTCCTGTTTAGTCCTGCTTTTAGACCTGGATTAGTCCTAGTTTAGTCCTGTTTAGTCCTGGTTTTAATCCTGGTTTAGTCCTGTTTAGTCCTGCTTTTAGACCTGGTTTAGTCCTGGTTTAGTCCTGGTTTAGACCTGGTTTAGACCTGGTTTAGACCTATTTTTGGTCCTGGTTTAGTCCTGTTTAACCAAACAACACCAAACCGTGTTACGATCAGAAGCGCTTTTCAAATCCTCAAATTAAAGCCGTGTTTTTCAAAACGTTTCCCCGAGTGGATCCGGACGGAGATATTTGCAGACTCCAAAGTGCGGTGCATTTAGGTCACTGGCAGGAATCGTAAAAGGCAGCGCTCTGATCCATGGCGTGTCAGTAATGAGCAGAATCTTAAGGAATGGCTAATGCGTCCTTGATTTGAGTTTGCGAACGCGGCGCCAGGGAATGCCACCGGACGAGGAGCTGGGAGGGGACAAACATCTGTCGACGAAACTTTCTAAAAAAAATTCAGAACGAGGCGACATATCAATATTTTTAGACCTACAGTGCTGTCACGATCCTAAAATTTTAGAAGTGGACTCAATACTCAATACTGATTCTGAAACCACAATGAAAAGGAAAAAAAACTAACAAAAAAAACTGTTTCCTTAGACAACAGAATGTGATTTTTAACATTAATCCTTCCAGACCTCAGGGCAATTTTAGTACATTTGTCCTCGCCTGGAATTTTTTCTTAAAGTTTGTATGGAGGATTTTTTTTTTGTTTCAAACTGTCAGTCAAAGATTAAAATACCATTACAGAGACGCAGCAGCTTTGTAATTATGATGACCAAAAAAAAAAAAAGAACGAAAATCTATAAACTCTGGACGTGTTGAGGCCAGATAAACATCAGCCAATAGAAAACGAGGCTCCCTCATTTTCTATTGGCTGTTAGGTTGTCAATCAAACTCCCTAGTGTAACTGATTCGTCGGAGCGCGGGGATTACGTGGTTTACACAACGGTTCTTAGAGGCTTTTTCGAACTGTCGCTTCCTCGCATTTCGCACAAAGTTTGTCGCGACGGCGGACGAGAATCCGCGACCGGTTCACCGCAAAAGAAAGTCAGTTTTTGAGGTCGCTGAAAGAAGAAGAGAAGGGGAAAGGAGCAAAGACAAACTGAGGTGATTCTTGGAGATCTCGTCCAGTGATGGCGCGACCGAAGCAGACGAAGGGTCTAAAAACTGACGCGTCGGTCGCTGAATTACTTCTAGACAGGAAACTTCAACAGTAATTTCTGAATGCGCACAAGGACTGTCGCTGTATTTCTCTTCCTTTAAAAAAATCCTCTATACAACCTTTAATTTTGCTATTAAAACTCCTTCTTTTACCCTCTAATGAAGTTGTTATACATCCTTTTTTCTCAGTACAACCTGTTATTTAACAATCTGTATTCTGTTTTTGTGTTATATGGCTGTAATAAAAGCAACAGGCCCAAAAATACAAACATAAAATTCACACTTTTTCATATAAAACACCACAGCAAACCACAGTATGAACAACTTTTGGACATAAAAAATGCTTAATGTAAGGCTTTAACTACACAATTGCAAAATATATAAACTAAAAATATCCTTATTGCATCAAAACAAAAACAAAAAAAGTGCAATGATCCCATGACTTTCCTCGTGTCAGGTCCAGGACACAGAGCCACATCACTTCTTGTTTATTCCATTTGGATTTGGACATTTGGACTGAAATAAACCTGAAAATAAAAATAGCGCAATAGGGATGCACAATTACACAGACCAAGATGCGTAATTTGTTATTTATTTGAGGAATAACTGCACTTAGAGCGGCTTTTTCAGTTGTTACGAACACAGACGCTCAGAGCAGTCGATCATCTTGACTCACTACTAGTGACGGGCATTCGATGAAATTTTCTTAATCGATCGTAGGAAGAATTAACGATCGA